GTCGCGATGTGTATTTTTCAAACACAACTTTCTCAACACTTGGATGAAAGTGAAGAGAACAGAGAGAAAAAGATGGTTATTACAATATAAAGCTCCATTTAATATCAAGCACGCCATCAACTGACTATCCACTAATGAAAATGTCCCCCCCCAACTTTTTAATTAACTCGCCAGCCCGTGGTGTGGAGTCAAGTTGTGGACACAGACAAAGACGAAAATGTGTTCCTTTCCCAGGTGATATGAATTTCAAACAGGCAAAGTTATGCAGAAAGAGGCTGGCGGAGTCTTTATTAGGAGAGAAACTTCAGAGGGAGACAGATGTGGGTGGGGCGGGCCTGTGTCATTGTGGTTCGGAGTTTCATGTACAAAAGGGAGATGATAAGAACTGGATCATAACTCAAACAAGGGGACTGTTCAAAGAATGGAAATTTGTTCAGCATGTTTTTATCCCGAATGGGCAAAGAGAGATGTGGAGATATAAGTAGAAGAAGAAATGTTATAGTTGATGATATTGTGATGTTGCATTTTCTGTTCTGAACTGTTTTATAGAATTATAACTTTTTTCAAATCAGAATACAGAAAATTTAACATTGAAACATCATATTCGTAGCATACGTATCAGAAGGAGCCCTGTTAACACTTTGCTCTGAAAAAATGAATTGGCTGAGTGAGGGTGGTCTTCTCTTTTTTTAATTTTCTGTCTGGAATACTTTGATCTAAAAAAAGTGTGAAAAGGAGTGATAGAACTAAACATTTTAGAAGACTAAGACTGCTTAAATACATTTAAATACAGGAATACATAGTTCTCATGGTTTTTCTATTACCCAGACATCCCTATCCACTCACGCTTCCTCCAACTCATCCAGAATCCCACAGCGTTCCCAGGCCAAATGAGAGACATCGTATTCTGGGTCTTCACAGGGGTTTCCTCCCAGTGGGATATTCTTAGAATCCTGTGGAGGTCCTCAGGGAGGCGTTGCGGGGGCATCCTCAGATACCTAAACCCCCTCAACTGGTTCCTCTCGATGTGGAGGAGCATCATCTCTACTTTGAGCTCCGCCCGTGTGAGCTCCCCACCCTACTCTAAGGGAGCGCCCAGCCACTCTGCGTAGGAAGCTCATTCCGATCACTCTTATCCGCGATCTTGTCCCTTCGGTCATTACCCGAAGCTCATGACCAGAGGTGAGGGAGAGAACGACTGGTAAATCGAGAGCTTTGCTTTTGGACTCAGCTCCCTCTTCATGTCGGTGTGATACAGCGACCACATCACTGCACACTGCACAGATCTGTCTGTCAATCTCACACTCCACGGTCGTGAACAAGACCCTGAGATACTTGAACTACTCCACTTAGAAAGGGCCTCTAAACCCAGTTGGTGAGGAAAAGAAGGAAAATTAATAGCCAAAGTCGTTACATCAGTTCAGTTAGTAATATTGTTCTTTTAATGACTCTGTGAAGGCCACTTCCTCATATTGAAAGTTTTCATAAATTATGGTCGTAGCCGCCTCACAGAGCTGAAGGTAATAGCATCATGAATGATTTATAGTCAAAAACGCTTTTCAGACAGCATTGTTTTCTTCCAAGTTTTCAATGTTCCATTTCAAAAAACTTCAAGGATCTCTGCCTGTTGGTAATCAGGCAAAGCAGTACATCATAACGCCTCAAAGTGCTGGATGACGGGACATTTATCACACTGAGACGCCAGACTTTCTCAAACACATTTCCCTTTATTGGCATGGTGAGGCTGATGAGAATTGCACATAAAAAAATTAAAATTCACAAGAAAGTCGTACAATAGGTAGAACCACAAAGGCATTGGTAAGGACTTGGCAGAAAAAGGCAACGTGGATAGGACACATAGAACATCCAAAAACACGCACACACACACACACACACACACGCACACACACATCTCTTAAAATCTCACGCACACTTGTACACGCAATGTCCTTCCAAAAGAATAGAAACATAAACAAAGCAAGACAGTGTCCTCGGTAGGTGACATTAAAAAAGTCTGCCACAGTTGAAACCATAAGGTGTAATATATTGCTACTCTAGGCAATTTACAAAGCATTTTTTATTACAATGTTTAAAGCCACATCAATCAATGGGACACGACACCATTACCCAAATGCTACAGACAACGGAAAGGGAAAAACAATGCCATAAAACACAGGTATTTTTTCACGTCCTTCTTTGAAAACGGTCTCCAATAGTCAAACTCCATAAAAGGAAGTCTGTGATCAGCATAGCTTTCATTATACAGGTTTTTCCTCCTTCCTGTGATGAGAGCTGGCTCTCATTACTTGGAACAGGATATTAATTGAACTAGAAACTGCAAGGTTACCTTTAATGTCATATCTGGACAGTGAACAGAGAGAAGGGGAAAGAAGTGGTGCGGCATGCCGTAGTTGTGTAGGGGTTTCTACTATAGGCCTACGGAACAATGAGCCAGAACTTTACGACCACCCACTCAGTAGTAATAGCAGAATCAAAATGCTTTTTTTTCTTTCTCAAGTCTGTTTGATGGATAACATGCTTCTGTCTGCATAAAGTTCCATGTTACACCCATGGTCCCTATTATATATTTAGTGCATACATTTTAAATCTTAATATTGATTCAAATGATGCCTGATGTATCCCTTTTTGTGTGGGACGACAGTGGAAATATGGTCAACACACAGAAAGTCTTTGCTCGAACCACGAATTAAGTTTGGTATTTCCCCTTGAGCCAAAATCATCCGTGTCACAGTTTTGCAAAAGAAAAAAGCAAACAAAGTAAGAGTAAAGAATGAGGAATGACATCTCAGCTTCAGGAGAATAATTTACTCATACTTAAAGGTGATCTTCAATTGCAAATGAATTTTGAGAATACATCACTTTGAACATATGACCCTGTACTATCTTCCATATTATAGTAATCCCTCTTCTTGGCATAATCACCACTAGTAAGAATTGCTGGAGAATACTTCGACCAACAGTGAGTTGCCTCAGCTGTCTATCAAGGATTTTAATTAATTGGTCCAATCAGTAACTTGTAGGGGCGGGTCTAAGTGACGCTTGGAGTCGACAAACAACTTTAAACGTTTCAGCAATTTAAATGAATTGCTCTGAAACCACTTTTGAGAGAGTAAAAGAGAAGGAGAAACTGCAATAACATGGCAAAAAGCTGCTGAAAGTCAATTCCGCTTTAAGGTCCCCCTGAAGTTGAATCTTTGCTTGCTGTGGTCGTAAAGTTATAGCCGATTGCGTTTCTATGGTTAGAAGTGCGCCATTGAGAAAATCGGTTATCCAAGTGATTCTGGACAAGTCATGCACGACACGTCGAACATTTTTTTTTGTAGACATACACACACACACTCACTGGTGGACGGTTTGCACACAAAGAACCACATTGTAATGCGTGCAATACAATCACAGACATCTTTAAAGGGAAAAGCAGTGGGAAGCCAAGACTTGGGAATGGAGAATCTTAGCAACCAGCGACTGGGTAATGGGTCCAAAATCCCCCCCCCCCCCCCCAAACAAAATCACAATGATACAAGTTAAAACACAACTCTGAAAAATAATTTATTGCTTTTTATAGATTTTTTCCTTTCATTTATATTATTATTAATCATCTTGCAATAATTGTGAATATTATTACTATATGTTATTATTTGTACATCAAATACATAAAAAACTCAGGAAAGGAATTGTAAACTTCTTGTTTGGCATTCACATAATCATAAAAGCGTGAGTGCAGCCATGTCAGTGTTTCCAGTGGGACAACTCAATAAAAATCCTGGGAAATTATTGTTATTGCTTCTATGTGGATTTAAGGATTAATGCTCGAGGAGTGACTGACTGAAATGGTGTGATTGCTTCGAAAAGGCATAGAAGGTCACGAAATCGCCTCCAAATGATATTACTGTACACCCTGTCTAGTGATTGTGAGTTAAATAACAGAAAAGAAGAGAAATAAATAAGTTTTATGAGGTACGCCACATCAAATGGAGCTCATAAATAGGTTTGATTACAAAATAAATACATAAATATTGAAATTATTTGGTTGATCAAAAACATTCCAAAGAATCGAACTGTATATACTGATTGCTTTCAAATGATTTGTTAAAAAAAATGGTCGTCCATTTTTTTTAAATCATGAAAAAAGTTGGAAAATGCATTTTTACACCAGCAAAAACACTGATTGATAGCATTAGAAACACATGAAACTATACATGGTTGACTCTTGAACCCCAATCCCAACGAAATAACTTAAAAAAGGTCATCGTTTACTCTCAAATTGAGTTCCATTTTTTGTTCTTTTTTTTTACAATCATGTCATGACAAAACATCATGTAGGTGAACAACGTGTAATCACTACAGCTCAAACATTCTGAATTAAGAAATTGTTCTCGTTCATTTAAAAAAGGCTGCGTTTTACAGTGCATAGCTGTAACAAATAAAGATTTTTCTTATCTGATATGTACATAAAACAAAAATATTCCTTTTTATAATAGTAAATACACGGCTACATTTCAACTTTTCAAAATGTAGACATCCCAAACAATTCCCACTTTTGCAATGTAACACCAGATCCACGCATCCGAAAGGAAAAGAAATGACAAAAAGAATAAAAAACGAATCTGGCTGAACAAGCTGCTACCCCAAAGGATTGTGGGTATTGTAGTGCTTAGAGAGAGAGAGAAAAAAGACAGTTTATTTTCCGTTTCTTCCTTCACGACAGCAGTTGAGTGCATTGAACCTGCTTTTGAACAGATTCTGAGGGATCACTGGCTTTCCCACAATGCTTCCTTCCCTTCTTCTTCCTCTTCCTCTTCGTCAGCAGCAGCAGCTTTGTTCATGTAAACTTCATTTGATAAATTCATTTTTCACGATATACGTCTATATTTTTCTTCATATATAAACTCTGTGAAATAGAGTGTAAATCTCTTCTCATAGTCTTGAGAAACAGTGAGGTATCGGGAGTCCCCCTCTCTCGCGGTCGCCCCTGACGGTTACCTCCGCAGGCTGCGCTGGGCCTCTCGGAGCAAGCTGTCGAAGTCCAGGGAGTCGTACTTGCTCTTGGTGGAGGCGGGATCAAAGTCGTCTGAATGAGAGTCTGCGAGAAGAAGAAGAAGAAGAACACGGAGGTCAATGCATGTGTAAGAAGTCTGCACGTTGGCTTTTACAAAACACAGGGAATGACATTTTTTGATCCTATAAGTAAGTAATGTTTATCTGTGCGCTACCAGTCAGCTCTGTGGAAGCTCTGGTACAGTTGTCTTTTATAATTGTTTGTATGTTGTGTTTGTGATGTAATATATATATGTGATATAATAATATCTATATAGCACATTCTGTAGACCAAGGTCACCCAAAGCTCTTTCAGAGTTCAGATACACACGGTGATGACGGAAGCAAGTCGCCGAACACACTGGCGCATCCGGAGGAAACCTACGCAGACACGGGGAGAACATGCAAACTCCACTCAGAAAGGCTTCGTTCCGACCGGGATTCGAACCCAGAACCTTCTTGCTGAGAGGCGAGAGTGCTGTCCACTCAGCCAAACCACAAATGTTGCATAATGTAACAAAATCCATCAGCTTTGTTTTTGGTCACATGGTTTTTGTACCACCCTCACTCTTCCAATCAGCTTTCTGCCCAAAGAGTCGAATGGAGACGCCCAGGGATTTTTCTTAAACGTAAATAAAAAAATAAAAAAATTGAGGAAAAAACTAAATCTCCCAACAATACTTTTTTAAAATTTGAGGCAAAAAAATATGGGTAATTGTAGAAAGACCTCACTTCTATCTACTAGCATTTTTGCATGTTCTACCAATGTCTGTGTAGGTTTGCTCCAGGTGCTCCCAAGTTAATAGCAAATAATAGCTGTGCAAAACATTGTAAAGCACTTTGACAGACATTGGTGTGCGAAATGCTCTATATAATTAAAAATCACTGACTTACTTACACTCTATGGTTAAAAACTCAGAATATGATTTTTGGCGTAACACGGGGTCTTTAAAGCTTTCCCGACACAGTTTCTATCTCCTGCCATTCTTGAAAGCAGCGCATTACTGTCTGTAAAATGTTGTCTCCCAATCTCTCATGCTGCCTATTCTTCTTGATGAAGCTGATAATACGCAGCACCTGTCTTATCTCCACCTACAGACAGCTTCACAAATGGGACCCCCAAAGATCCCTGCAGCTCTCCCCCCCTTCCCCCTTCCAGCTTTGAGGAATTGGGATGTCCGCATCGCAGCCAAAAGACTCAGCTCTTGATCTAATGCAATGTCCGCCGGCTCAACTGTGTCAGACTGCGCACCTTGAGGGATGAGAAATTCCTCTGCGCATCGCCTCAAACTAATGGACAGTGTCTTTTCGAAAACAAAAAAAAAAGAGGAGAAAGATGGAGAAGTGCAGGCGTGGAAGAAGTCTATGCCGTTAAATTCACTTTCCATCACTGAAAGAACCACCAAAATAGCCCAATTCCAGCAAAAAAAAGGCGTCTTTCCATTCAACTAGACTGATTAGTCAATTTCGCTTTAATGCGCCTCCTCAAGGCTGTAGATTAGCAACCGTTCCTTTGTGTGCCGATTTTTCAGTACTTAAGTGGCTTAGGGAAGTGGTTCTCAAACAGTTGTGGATGTACCAAAAGTGACTGGCCTAGTTTAGGTTATTTTTTTGGTTTAGCTATAGTTACTTATCTACGACCTAGAGTTTAGCCAAAAGTGATATATGACCGAGCCCTACTTGGTTTGGATTAGCTCCTTACACTGGAAAAAAACATAAAGCCCACTCTAAGGATATTGGTGAAAGGCGACCAATTTTAGTGTCACAAATAAACCAGGGCAAACTGAGAAGAAGCAGAGGGGGTGCCAAGAGAACCACTACACCTATAACAACATGCACATCCACACAGGGAAGGACTGTGAGTACAAGAAGCCAAAAAGTGTGAAGCTTACTTGCAAAATAATACTTCAAAAGTTGAGCTATATTGTGCTTTCACTGGGTATTTACATTTACAATGCATTGCTTATAATTATTAAGGAGATTTTACGATTATCAATGTGAATGTTCTGCTGTATATCTTCTGTATATGACGTCAAATGTAAACAGTGACTATTTTGGTCCCACTTTTGACAAGGTTTTGTGCTGCTATAGACGGTTTTGCTGTAGATTTGGATTCTGGCACTGGTTTAGACCTTTATGAACGGCTTCACTCATAAAAGACATCCTTATTTCCCCTCATGTGACCTGCATCATACACCCATGACCCCATACATTAGAGTGAAATACATGTCAGGCACAGAAGATGTCAATAACTGCCTGCTGTGTCACCTATGGATGGACGTAATTATTGTTTTCAAATGGCTCTAGGCTTCTGCAGCTTCCCTTCTGAGAACAGCCTATTTTCTGTTGCGGCTTGGCTCTGGGCCAGGGAAGCGAAGGAAGCCTCGATTTCATTGATAGCCTGCATTATTTATAAAAAAAAGCAACTTTCTGGGCTGTCCATTTGGGTATTTCTGTATGCGGACTATATAGAAGCCTTGATTGGATGTGGGCCCGTCTTCGCTGCATAAAGCTGTCCTAGGCCTCCAAGCATGGCTGCGTCAGACACTATTTATTGTTGTGTATACTTAAAGGTACATCCCAACTGTACTGATGGTGACGCACAGCTTTCCAGTATCTGCTCTGGTTTGATCCGGTTTGGTTTAAAACATGTACATTACTCATTTCTGGATTAAGTAAGTCGGTAGTTAAGTAATCTTTATTTTTCATAGCGCTTTTCACAGACCAGAGTCGCAAAGCACTTTAGAGTTGTTGTTTTTTGTCCTCTCATTCCACACAGAGATGGGAGCTTAAAATACTTTTACAGAGAGAAGACTCGCCTCTTCACAGATATACCCTGTAGCTCAGCCGAGAGAAGTCACAAGCTTAATTCCAAAGTAAATGGAACGTTTATTGACAAACAAAATACAAGCAATGACAAATGCAAAAGCAAAACACCCATATTTAGAGGAATCGAAGCAAAATGTGACCTGCCACCAGGATGCGTGTGCAATAGACCTTTTATTAGTGGCAGATACTCACCAATAGCTCAGGGCCGCAGAGAACGTTCATATTTTTAAAAGTAGGCTCAAGACGCACCTTTTTAGAGTAGCTTTTGATTAGTTTTTATTATTCCATTCTATTTATCTTTTATTATTTATTATTTATTATATTGCTATTGCTATTATTCATGTATTGTGTGTTCCTTTTAGTCTCACATTTTAGTGTTTTACTTATTGTATTGTTTTTAGTGTACCCAGTGTTTCCTCTGGAGGAGCCCTCTGCACCGGGAGCAGTGGTCGGTGTGGCTGCGGGGGTCGGACTCTTGGGCCTGGTGGGGGCCTGGGGCCTCGGTTTCATGTCTCCTCTGGGTCCTGTGTCGTCCCCTGTGGCTACGGGCGGCTCTCTGCTCCTGGTGCAGACGGCTCCTTGGATGACGCTTTTTCAGCTGGTTGCATCTGAACCCTGCCAAGTCTCTCATCATGTTTTTATTGTTTTACTGGTGTGTGTGTGTGTGTGTGTGTGTGTGTGTATGAGTGTTCATGAGCGCGTGTGTGTGCGTTTGTCTGTGGTTTGGGGGGGGTCTGTTGGGTGGTCTGGGGGAGGGGTCTTGGGTCGGCGGGATTGTTTTTAACCAATCTGTAAAGCACTTTGTGTTGCATCTTATGTATGAAAAGCGCTTTATAAATAAAATTTGATTGATTGATTGATTGAATAGTTTTGATATTCAAAACTTTGCATATGTCCAAAACAACTATTCAGAAAACATCACATTTCAGAAATATCTCCAATTTCAAAAGTAAATGGTCCAAGACTACTAAAGCCAACACCAACTTACACACGTTCACATTCAGTTCCATTCAGTCAATGTGAACTGGAGTTGGACCAATCAACAGCCCTCTAATCCATAAAGCCGAGGAACTTCAAGAAAACTGGTCAAAAGGCTAAACACACACCATACCATATCACCCAGAATATATAGCAAACCAAGAAATACACAGCACTCCAAGGTAAAATATTAAAGTCCTTGATATCTGCATGAATTCATATTGATGTGTGTTTTTACTGTTTCCAATATCCCATCTTTACCAAATGAACTTGTTCACTGCATTACACCGGCTCTGGTCTTTTCACACCACCGTCAGACTACACCCCACAACAGCTGGCGCCAGATGGGTCCTCACCTGGGACAGGGCGTACGGAGATGAGGGGGGGAGATGTGTTTTTCTTTTCTTTTTTTTTACTGGGACCTAACCTTGTTCCCACCTTCCTCACATCCTCTTCATCCCTTTGTCCTTGTAAAAAAGAAATAACCTCCTCAACCTCTCCTCAGTTCTTAATGTGCTTGTGATCTCCCGACACCCACGCGCTCGGGATATATATACAGGCAACATGAAAACGCATCACGGATTCAAAGGGAAATGGGGCAGAAGAGGAGCAAACATGCTTTTAAAGGATCTACCTCCATGAACGCCTTTCAGAAGAACAAAGTAGCGTCTTGGTTTTGCCTGCGTAACGCCCTTCTCCCCAGAGAGGCGACTCGCACTGGGGGGAAGAGGGTCCTTTTCTTGGCATGGGCCTTGGATGACCTGGATCTATACGCAGGACACTTACTCACTCACTGTTTGCTTTCAAATATGAATTATTTAGCGGCAAACATTTAAACTACTGCAAAATACACCCGTTTTTACAAGATCTCTAAATAAACGTCTTTCTCATTTTCTGAAACATTGAAGAATGGCTGAAATTCTTGGGAAATGTCTTTAAAAATCTACAAATCAAGCAACTAAATAATGATAACATAGGGATAGGGGAACATATTGTCTTTGTAATATGAAATTCAAAAACTTAATTTTTCTAGTGTAGGCCAGTGCCCTCATGGGGGGACATGGAGATACTGCAGGACAGGTCCAAACAGCAGCCATTGAGATTCAGGTATTGGGTTAGAATTACTCCATAAATACTGCTTTTTACAACTTAACTGATTTACATGTTTTAGTGATGTAATTAAAAGTAAAAACATCACATATTCACAAGAATAGTGTAGAAATTGAAAGGACCCACGACTTTAATAGCGGCGAATAGATAGACAATGATCTTACACAAGCTCAATTCCTAAACTTGAACTTTAAAGCTAGGGTACCTAACTTTCAAACAAGACAAAATGGAACTGTGTGATAAAATCCATCTAACTGGATCTTCGCTCTCAAAACATGTTGGTTCTGTCACTACATGCATTGTATTTTTCATCACATACTCAGGTTAGATTTTCCTGAGAGAAAAGTCAAAAAGAGAGGACCGCCCTCACTCAGCCAATCAACTCTCAGCGTCAAATAGTGACTCTCAGGGCTCTGTTTTACAAGTTTGCTAAAAGATAATATGTTTACTATACTATGTGTGATTTCACTGTAAAAAGTTAATATGTCTTCTTATTTTAATGCTTAGAAAGTTATTTAAATAAGACAAAAAAGTAAGGAAGCTAGTACTGTTAGTAATGTGTGATTTGTTTTATTCATGCTGTTGGGACAAAAACTGTGTTGTTATTGGCATTTTTCTAGGTGTCCCAGCTTTATAACCAAGACAGAAACATACAAAGAATAACATGCAACCCCATGACAAGCTGGAAACCCATTTTGAATTACACCAATACAATAACTTAGCATCTTTTCTTTGATGATTTTGCACTCTCTAGATTCCGCCGCATTTCCCCATCTGTGTTTTTTTTTTTTCTGCTGACTCCTGGCGCTCTTGCAGATATATCTGTGAGCTGCAGGGGGCCTTCCGCACCCAACTCACCCAAGTCGGTGTAATGTGATTTCCCAAACTGCTTGTGTCCAAAGCAAAGCTCGAACTGTGGCTCGTGCGACCGGCGTAAGGTGTGGCCTCTCTCCAGGGCAGCGAAGGCGTCACAAGTGAAGCGGTACGTGATCAAGCCAAACGTGTCCCTGGTCAAAAATAGACAAAAAAAAAGGTTACGTCAGTGAGATGCTGCTACTGTGGGGGCAATAATAACCACACCAGAGGGAGGCCTTGATGTTGGCTATTTATATGCAAAGAGAATCAATGAAAGTGTATCTTTGGGGTGTGGAGAAGAGAAGGCATTAAACAGGCTTTTAGTGCCGTTGTTGTGATGTAAATATTGCATAAAATGGATGCCAGCGCGCAAGAACAAGAAGCTTTTTTTACATTGTTCTTTTGAAAATAATGAAAGTGTTGCAGAGGATGGTGCCAGAGATAACAATATTCTGATGCCAAATGTTATGTGGATTATCAAAGCTATTTTAATTTCAGTTTTTCAACATGCATCGAATTGTCTGTGACAGAGATCAATGTTGTAAAAAAGGCAGTTTCAAATCAAGATGGTACTTTTCAAAACGCAAGTCAAATAATGTCTTATTCAAAGTATTAAAATGACAGATTTTCTGGATTTAATGTCCTGTAGTTGCACTCACGAACACACACTCATTCACTCTCAATCATTGCACATGTTTTTCAGAGGTAGGGAAAACTGGAGCACACAGAGGAAACCTATGCCGATACTGGGAGAACATGCAAACTCTCTCAGAAAGGCCCTGTCTGGAGGTGGAATCAAACCCAGAATCTAATTGCTGCGTGACACAAGAGCTTACAGCTGTGTCTCTGTGTCGTACAAACATATAAAATGGAGTAAATGATCTAGTAAGCAGTTGACAGAAGAGGAGATTGTGAGCGGAGTTTCTCGTCTGAACATGGATGGAGCTAAATGCATCATTTAGATAAGTCTCAGTCCTGGATCTACAGCCTGTCTGTCTGTGGGAGCGGATCCCTCTCTTAGAGGTTTCTCACACTTTATTTTTTTTTATAGTTCCTGCTTTTGCAGGAGGGTCTATTTATGGCAGGGGAGTTCAAACTTTTTACTAAGAGGGCCACTTTAGTGAATCAGACTTGACTTGGGGCCAACAGCCTGGATTAAATGAACTGGATTTGAGCTGGATTGATTAGATTCTGTAATTTAAAATGGGTCATGATATGTCCTTGATTCACACCACAGCTGCAATTTATGTGGAATGTTGTGACACAATCTTAAAACAAATGTCAGTAAATAACAATAGATTCAACGACTGGATTCCAGAGGGTCTGAGATTTACAAAGAGGTATAGCAGGACAGTATTGGTGGAGCTGAAGTTGGTTGGATGACACTGTCAAAGTGCCTCAATGGCGACTTGGTGTTGGCAGTAGAGGGCCACATAAAATGGCACACAGGGCCGCAATTGACCCACGAGCCTGAGTTTGGACACGCCTAATTTATGGCCATGTATTCATATTTATTGACATTGGTCATCCCGCTTCCAATGGACTAATGGCTCATATATCTAAGACTACTGATGATTTACAATGAATTGAAGTTAATTGATAAGGGAAACATTTCGTAACATAGCTGCAACCTTGAAAATGTGTCTATCAATGTTTAAACAACACAATAGATAACAGCTCTATACAGATGTCTTCTAAAAACCATGCCAATGCTTATCCACGTCCCTTTTCAGCCCCAAAAACTTTACTCCTGCATGTTTCAAGAGCAATAACATATATTTGAGCTGCAGACTATCCAGAGGGCAGGAATGTTCTACTAAATATTTCCTGCCTGGATACTTCCCTCCCCTCCTCTCTCTCTCTCTCTCTCTCTCTCTCTCTCTCCCTCACACACACACACACACACACACATAACACACATAACACACACACACACACACACATACACACACACACACAGAGGCTGCACTCGTCCCGCGGCCTTACCCATCATCCCTCAGGTTCACTGCGCATTCTTCAATTTCACCGAAGACTTCAAAGCGGCGTTTCAGCTCCGTCCTGGTGCAGTCGGACCTCAGCCGACCCACGTACACGGCGCGTCTCTCCTCCTGTTCGTTAACAAAGAGAGAAAACCCAGAGATTAGAGGGATGAGCTGTCGTTTTTACATGCCACTAATGAATTGGCCGTGATAACCCCCGAAGTCTCCTCTCCTCTCCAGACCTCCGCCGCCTTGCCCCTTTCACTTTGTTTTGCTCCTCAGTGATTGCTTCAACTTGCTGTTTTTTTTCTCCCTTTTGATCTGATAGCGTTGCAGTTTGGAGGTGCTTTCAATCTCTCTTGACGCTACAATTCCTCTTTCTCTCCGCCAAGTCATCAACTGGTGGCGGCACGCTGCGATTTTTATCAAATGATGCCGTGTCGAGTTTAAAACTGTTTTTCATGGAGGCTAAAAATAAAACAGAGGGGTGACTCAGCCGGGGAGCAGAAAGTTAGGCAGTGTGTGTTTTTGATTGGAAGAGTTGCGAGGAGTGAGTCGTATCTGTAGGCCCGCGGAAATGACATAGTTCTCAATTAAAGCTCCCAATAAAATAACAATGTCATAAAAATCCTTCTAACCAGCTCCTTGCACTCAAAAAACGTTATCACATCTTTAGATCAGCTTTTTCAGACAGAACCACTCTCACTCGGCCAATCAGCTCCCATCCCAAAGCCTCAAATAGCAATTCAAAATGCAAAAGACGTTTTCTAAGAAGACAACATTTTAGCATCAGCTAGTATGTGTCAACTCATGGAGATCGTTGCTTGGTAAGTATAATTGTTAGTATTTGTTTTAAGTTGGCATTACCGACCCATTCCAATGACTATGTTTAAAGTAACTTATACATGAGTGCCCCGTGGACTCTCCCTCCAGCATAGAGAGGACATGAGTGCCCTCTGTTCTCAGGGGAGATAGTCTGTCACATACCCCCAGGGGCCACACTGGGAGCCTGGTCAATGGAAGGCTAAATAAAACGTACTTATTTACAAACTCATTTTTGAAAGGGGGCGTGAGAAAGGTATTTGGGTGAACTGTGTGTATTTGTATCTTTAAAAAAAAAAAAAAAAACTTGTTGGACTGAACCAAACTGGGCCCAAATTATGGAAGGCATGACTGTCCGATTATTAACTTGATTTGGGTCTAGTTCAAAGTTTTGGCCAAAATCAAATCACGTTTTCTCGAGGTAATAAAAACTATATATGATATCATGATAGCTCTTATTATCAATGTTTTCAAGTTATATACTAAGTTAATAATAATTCAATTCAGGCCAGTAAAACAGTCCATTACCATTACCGGAAAGGCCCATTCCAAGAACCGACTTTTCAAAACCAGAATCGGTATCAGTGCATCCCTATTTTATTTATTTCTTCAAAACATTTGCGCATGGATAAAGTCATTTTGTCTCAGTTATATTTTATGTCTCATTTCACTTCTCATTTAATGCTTTTGCCTTTGCTAAATATTTGTTCTCCCAACTCACTTTTCCACCCCCTTTAATGCTTATACTTTCACTTTGGAACCAAGAGAAACGCTTGCTGAATTAGTGGTTTACTTGCTGACAGCTGATAAATAGGCGGTCCTTTCTTGACGGCACCCTGAGGGCTACTTGTGCGCGTTGGTGTGCGTATGTGTGCGTATGTGTGAGTATGTATGTACGTGTGTGTGGGTGGGTGAGTGAAAGAAAGGAACACTGGGAGATATGCAAACAGACAGTTAGAACAAGCATTTTTTACACGCCCGGACTCTCAAACCTGCTCTGACAGCTACGGCTCCGTACCACTTGTAATTGTTTGTGTCAAAAAGTGTACGCCTGCCAAGCCACGTCTGCATTACCACGTCATTTACGGTTCGCTTTATCAACGGGTGGCCGCCGCTGGAGACCTGACTGAAGACGGGAGGTATAGAGGAAATGCCAAATTTGCAGGTTGCATACAGACGATATCACCACTTTTTTTGTTTGTGTCTTGCGCTGGCAGTTTTCTACTTTTTTGGGAAATTGCATTGTCCCAGGTTATAGCACAGGAGCTCATTGCCACCCGTAATCCCTGGGCAGGCTGATGTTATGATATTACATTAACAATAACAAACATTCATGGATGTAGTTTACATTTGGCTAAAATGCAAGTCTTCACGTGCGCAATTTGTTAAAACCTCACATTCATATCGCTCATTTATACTGGTCACACACACACATAAAACACACACATAATAGCACTAGGGGAACTATCAGGAGCATTGCACTTATTTCACAAGACTTTTTAAATATAACTATTGCTATCTTTATGATTATTAAGACTTTGTACTGCATTTATGAGTGTTATTATGTCGTGGTTGGAGCTGGGCTGGAGCTATGGCTAATCAAAAGAACTGCGAAAAACCATTTCAAAACTGAGAAATGAGTGTTATGGTTTGACTTACAATGGCTTTTTGCTTCTGCTGGTCTTTCTGCTCAGCGCGCTCGGACTCTTGTTTCTCGTAGTTGTGGACGTGCTCTTCCCGCATCAGGCGCTCGTGCTGGTACTCCTCGTAGCTGTCATACCTGAGGCGGAGAGTCCAATACTTTACACTGTTTTACTGACCACAAGCTGCAGCATGAGACGGTATCAAACCCTCACAATAGGCTGCGTTCATGTTCGACAATTCTGTTTCAAGTTGGAGGGTAGGTGCCGACACAGCTCCATGGGAAAGATTTTGAATGAAAGAAAATGTCCAAATATTTTCCCATCATTTGACAGTGAAACCCATCATTTGACAGTCTAAATGTACATTCTATGAGCCAACATCCTGCATATACTTTTTGAATATTGTCACCACATCTAGACACCATTAAGAGAAAATATTTAGATCAGAGTTGAGATGTGAAAAAGTTTGTGTTTCTAACTGAACATTGTGTGGCGCTTTGGGTGACCTTGGTCTGTAATGTAAGTGTAATGTGTTTTCATCTAAAAATAACAAGCCTGACTAAAAGGAACACACAACAATGAATGAGAATAATAAGAGTGGGGGGAAAAACTCCAGAGAAGCGGAGTTCAAACAAGATCCATGATAGTGCAGTGCTATGAGCACAGTGTACAGTACGAGACTGTCTTCAATTATAAATAAAAGACTCAGTGGGAGAAGTGGAAACAGAATAGACAGTCACTCACATGTGAATCTATGTAAAATCGCCTATTGGTGAGGTCCTCATGTGGTGACTTTTTACTCGTGTTCATTAATGACTTTTGGACTCATAAATACACACCTAATTTGCTTTCAGAATAATGTGGTATGTTGATGAAGGTCATGGTCAGTCTGTGCGAGGATTGAGGCTGAAATAAAGGTTCAAGGTAAACAGGGGAGTGTAGGCTGTGGTTTGATGCATAGGAACAATCCTACCAGAGCAAAACAACAAATATTATAATAATTGGTAACAAGCAAATACAAAATTTATGACCACAAACATTAACAATTTTATTTTGCATTCTTATCTGAAAGATTACAACAAAGTAACAGACAAATGTGAAGTGAAAGTCAGGATTTTTCAGGGGCTGCCAATGTCTTCCTTTCTCTGAATGCACACCATTGCCTTTGAATATGTCCTATTGAAGGTTGAATGTCTAACAAGGTATTTAGGACGAATTTGCGCAGATTTTTTTTTCACCCCACAGACCCAGTCGCTAATCACTTTTTCTACTTTTCAATTTCCACAGAGAGCCGGTGTTCGCAGCTAACCAGGTATAAACAGACACAGTGATAAACATGTCTGGCCGCCAATAATTGTCAATAATGGACAGTGAGCTATACAGACCAATTATTGGCATCGTAATTGGTACAAGCTTCTCCCTATACGCCTTAAAATAGAATCCATATGTGTAATTTATTCTAAGTATAAATAATATAAATATTATAAGTAAATAAGTATGATAAGCTGTTCTGAGACTACCAGAGCTCAGGACTCAGAGCTATATCTAGTACATTGGTCACTAAACGGCATCATAAAGTCCAAGGAACCCACAATAGAGGTCAGAGAAGTTAGACAAATATTTCCCAAGCTTTGAACTTCTCACAAAACATCGTTTAATCCATTATTCAGAAATGGAAAGAGAGTTACGCAGGAAATAAGATTGCACCACTGCAAACTTGCTAAGTTGCACCCCAGGAGCTGCAAACTTCTGTAGCTGAGCAGGGGAAATCTGTACATCTGCAAATATTAGTAATGTGCAGCAATAATCTGGCCTTTGTGAAAGCCGCTGTTGAAAGGAAGCCATGCATGGTGCAAAACTATCAACCTCTGTGTTAACACCCTTGGATTGTGCACTCTCCGCTCACAGTCCCAGTGTCAATTATGTAACATTCATAATATTAATGTGTTAGCCCAGACCTAAATCTAGGCCTGAAAACTAAAGTTCACAAACGCTCTCCATCTAATCTTATGAGACAACGGACAAAAACTTCTGGCCAATAAGTTTGTAAAGTCATACTGATTGCAGCGACAAAAAATAGTTCCACTTTTCATAGGCAAAATCATTTTCACTTCACAGATGTGTTGCGTTACTTTGCTTCCCATTTTAAATCTAAAAGAAAATATGTACTGTATGTTTGCAGTGTTAAACGTACAATATGTGCAAAAGTTCAAGTTGTATTAGTTCTTTTGAAAGCAATTATCAATTATCTGGGCTACTCTGCACTTCACCTTCACCCCATCTGTGTTTTTTCACAGAAACATTTTGTGTGCTTTATTGGTCCGAGAGCAGGGGAGTCAGACTGATTCCAGAAAGGGCCGGTGTGGCTCCACCTAGATCCATGGGCTCCTCTCATTCCCTCAAATCTTCAGCTTAACACTGGACTCACCTGTGTCTGTGCTCTACAAGAGATTTTGGGGAAAACTGATGGGAATACTGATGGGAATAAGTATGGGGCGACAGTAGCTCAGTTGGTAGAGCATTGGCCTTTGAGCCTGAAGGCCATGGGTTCGAGCCCACCATAAGACCTACTTCACGACTCCCACTGATGTCTGCTGTCGTTGTGTCCTTGGGCAAGACACTTAACCCTACTTTGCCCGAAGCCCCTGCTGAAAGATCTCAGCTCCTGTGGACTCACCACCTGCAGGAGGATCAGTGAGGGGCTGGTGCTCTGTGTACTGGGTGCAGCTCTGACTGCCACCCCCCTGACCCAGAAATGGATTAAGGGGAAGAAAATGGATGGATGGATGATGGGAATAATCTCATGTTTGAAAATGAGAGGAAAATCCAGGCACGTTTGGATTTAAACTCTACTGTACCAGTATTGGAGGACAGAGAACCTGTAAAATGAGGATTGGCTTATTAATTACAACCTGTATTTGGTCAAAATATATTGCTCCAAAAAGATGGTTCGGACCTACCAGTCTTTGTCAATATAAGGATCTCTCCATACAGTTAAAGACTGTATGTAATTGATTGTTTTGCAAAAAATTATTACAATTACAACTAAATCATAATGGCCAGTGTTGGACAAGCATTGCTGCTGAAGAAGATGTGCCAAGTCTGGGATCGCGTCTTACATTCAGACAGAAGACATGTTTTATTGTCGATGGTAGACACAGCACGATCAAAGCACACGATCACAGATACAATAGAATGCAAGTGTATTATACAGAGCAGAGGCATGGAGACCTCCAATCAGCAGCTGCCACGGTGCCATGTAGCTATGTGCACTTTATTGATCCCCGTAGGGAAATTTGTCCTCTGCATTTGACCCATCCTGATGCCACTAAGGCTTAGGTCAGGAGCAGTGGTTGCCATAGTAAAGCACCCGGGAACCCATCTCCAGATGTTGATGCTCAGCTTGGTCAGGACCGGAGCTGGAGGATTTTACATAGTGAGCATATTTTTAGTGGTAGAGGAAACCGGAGCACCAGGAGGAAACCTATGCAGACACGGGGAGAACATGCAAACTCCACTCAGAAAGGTCCTGTTCCGACCGGGATTCGAACCCAGGACCTTCTTGGTGAGAGTGCTATCCACTTAGCCACCGTGCCGTGCCGTCTGCAAAATGCACTATATAAATAAACATTACTTACTTACTCAAAACTAGAAATACAACATTTAATTTTATATGATAGCTACCAGGAAATACTTTTCAGCAGCCCAACACTATCATGATAAACTATAGGACTTTGTAATGTTGTGAGGTTTAAATATCAAAATGGAAGTTAAATTTGGGTTTGGAACCAAAAAGACAAAGTTGTTTTCTTGCACTTGTTATTAGAAATAATATTGCGTTCACTTAATTGCATTCTATCTTCCCTGCACCTCTGGCTAGAATTTAAATACAGAAAAGAAGAAATCACGTAAATAACTGAAATGCAGAGGAAGTACCACGAGGACCAGCAGCGCGTGTATACTGTGTTAGACGATAAATAGATTGTAAAACAAAAAGTCAAAAGGTTTGCAGGTCAAATTTAACATCTTGTTTAAACCACTTCATGGGACAGCGCTCCTGGGGTTTGGGATTGAAAGCAATACCATCAAGTGTCGGCCACTTAGATTTGTCATCCATGCCCTCTCCTGTCTTTTTCAATACATCAGAGAACTTAAGAGAAGACATAACACGCTGCTGCCTGTTATATAATGATAACCCTTGACACCTGTGACTCATTCTTATATATTTTTGTACTTTTGAAATGTCAGTATTGATCAAAACAATGTTAGACAAGAGTGCTACAGTATCCCTCTGCTCCCCTCAGTTCAAGTTAGATAAACATTGAATACATTGGTTGCTTAACTCTGCTTAAATATTTTGCATATCCCAAATTCAGAAATTCAAATTGGGAAAGAAAGTACAGAAAAAAACTGATGCTGTGGTCATAGGGGTGTTGTTGTTGTGATTTGCTAATTACGACCAGAATTGGGACTTTGATTTGGTGGCTATTAATCAAACAGTCCTACCCGATAAGAAAATTGACCCTATGAATGACAAAGGGAACAAACCATGGCCGCCTATCTACCGCCTTTAGAAGAAGAAAAATATGTTTTATTTATTAAGCACATTTCCTACAGGACTGCAACTCGATGTGCTTCACAAAGGACAAAGTAACAAATCAAATTGCAAAAACACAATGGAGAGATAAGGGCAGTGTCTATGGAAGTCTAAACAAGTGCGTTTGTGGTTTCCATACACCAAGAGCATAATGGGAGAAAGCCGCTTCTCCCACCTTCAGCCTCACAAAGGATACAACGACTAGGATGAGGCCCGAGGATCTGAGACTGGGCATGTGTTCATAAGGCGAGCACAGGGGTATCAAACCGGTCCTTTAAAGAGCCAGTGTGGCAGCAGGTTTTCATTCCAACCAAGCGTGAGCACACCAGACTCCACCCATTTCATCAGATCTCCAGGTTTAGACTGGACTAACTTGAGGAAATGGGTGGAGTCCGGTGTGATTTTGCTATAGTGAATAAAAACATTATATAACAGTGCCTTTCTGAATACGCTATAGACTTAGAAGACCTGAGAACAGGGGATTACAGTGATCAAATCTACAAAAAAACTCGGCTGTCCCCTTTACAACATCTACAATAACCCTCGGATATGTCCAGCATGTGTTTCTGAAGTGTAAGAAAGTGTTCTCTGAGCGTATTGGCTGTGGCGGCGCTTTCGTAGCCCACTCGAGAGTCTCACAGGAGAGGCGGCGAACGGCGCGGTTGGGAGCCAGGCTGCAGCTGTCAGCACAACTTCACATGTCATTACTTTCTGCTTAGTTAGGGCTTCATCAAGATGGGGAAAAAGTACGACTTCACTACACCGCCACCGCCACCACCCCTCTCCCTCTACCCGGCGTTGGCACTAGACTTGTCCGTTAAGTTTGGACTGATGAGCGTCTCCCTGGAGTTGTCGGGTGTCATTAGGCGCGTGGATGCCAAATCAGCTCAGCGCTCCGAGTGTCACCATGTCCCCCCGCCTGACCTCTGCATATGCAATCACCGGAGTCTGGAGAGGCTGGACGCGCTGAGAGGAATATCAAAGATTTAAAGTGTGTTTAGAGATTCATCCAGTCAAATGTGTCATAGACGAGGAAGGGACTAAGAACACGGCAAAACACATCTCACACACAGCTCCTTGCTCACTTTGGAGGAAAGGTTGTGAGATTGTTGATTATAAAATAGCGATCGGTTTGCAGTTCCTCGTGTAAGGTTGGAGGTGGGAAAAGCAGCCTTCTCCTGCTTTGCTGCTGTGAGCTATAGCCCGAATAAATTGTACATAGATACAGCACTGGACAGGAGTGGTCAAATATACTTGATACTGGATAAAAACTTCAAGCATGGTCGACAAAACTACAAATTTACCAAGATATCTGATCCACCTCAGGTTAAGTGCATATTGTATCTGTCATATCCCAGTCTCATATCTGTGTACAATGCATCTGTCATAATTCCATACGTTCATATCTGTTCATATCAGTTCATATCTGTTCGTATCAGTTCATATCTCACAATTCATGATTCAAGTTGTATATAAATAATCTTATGGAAATCTTTCTGGAAGTCCGCAGCCAAAAAATGGCTCAACGGTCAGAACCTTCTTGTTTTTGCTGGCTGTCTGATTTCCATTCCAATTAATTCAAGTGGATTTATTTTTGGAGGGCGATAAATCACAACATCAGCAGTCGTTTCAAAAAACTTTAGTTAGTTGTTGATTCCTCACCAACAGATCAGAGAAGCAAGCCGTTTGAACATAGGAACTGGAATAGGAGCCATTGGTTCATAGAGAGAGGGATGACCAATGTCCATGAATGTTATTAATGCTTTGCCCAGTGATATTAAATCTGCTCCGACCCTGAACTCTATCAAAAGTACTAAATATCCACTTTTAACCTTTTATTATGCATTGAGTTACAATAACACGATTCTTTGTGAAGTGCTTTGAGTTTGTTGTATGAAATGTGCCAAACAATAACATGTGTTCGTCTTCTTGGACCACATTTTGCATCAACATTATTTTTATTGTGTAAGTATTGCTCCACAATATTTATCGCCGCTCTAAAAATGGCAATAGGATAGATTTTGCAGATAGTTGAGAGTATTTTAAGCAAAGTGGCGATCTGTGTAATATATTCTGTCTCAGCAAAAATGAATAATTGAAAACACAAAATATGTCCTGAAAAAGACTCACCTTTGCCTGCGGCTGAGAGGGGAGCGAGGCCGAGGGCTTTTGTGAGTCCGGGAACGAAAAGTGCTGTTTTCTGTGTTCTGACGAGCCCTGGATGAGACATAAAAGATTGATAGTTGAAATTATTTAACAGAATTAAAGTTAAGTAGATTATTAATCATATTTTTCACATGCATAAACTATTCCAACCACAACTTTGCCACATTTGCCACTACTGTAACAAGTCCCATTCCAAATTGTGTGTTTGTTTCACTAACACTATAAACAAGTTTCTGTGTCCAAAAACTTGCTTGTCTCTGCTCGAAATCTTTCACAGTTTAGCTTCCATTTATCAACAATAATAATTGTCACTTTTTTGGGATACTCAAAGATGGTTCACATGGCTTACATCATGGTGAACTACTACTGAAGCCATAGCTGCCCTGGGGTACACTGGCAGAAGCAAAGCAACTAATCTGTACCCTCAGCCGCTCCAAGACTCACACTAGGCAAACTTGGTAAGGACACAACAGCAGTTTGGCACCTGGCGTTCCCAAAGGTCTCCCATCACAGTACTAACCAGGCCCTTCCCTCCTTAGCTTCAGAGGTCTGGCAGGATCGGGCTTTCACATACAGGTCTATGTTTCAGTTGTCAAAGAATCCAATGGCAAAAGTGGGAAATAAATTCATACTATTTTACTAAACATCAAAAATTGAATGGTTTCATAAACAAAAATTTAATATATTACAGAAAACCCAAATCTAAAAGCTTTAAAAAAAAGTGTAAATTTTGGAGAATGTGTCTGATTTAATGCCATACCGCAGAACTTCCGGAAAAGTAACGGCAGAAACACCATAAAAGTTGATCGGTACTTTAAGTTTAGATACTTTAATCTCGAAGTAAAAGGCCTCGATCTCCAACAGAACTTGAGCCATGTGGGCCTCTGTACCTGTGCTATGTAAGTTGCATGAGAGCAGGTCAATACTGTGGACGTTAGCGGCTCGGCTGGCGCGGCTAACTCTCAACTCCTTATACTTCCTATGCTTAATAATTGAAGCGCTGAAGAAGGAAGCCTTGAATAATGGAGAGACACAAGTTTGGGGGAGCGCACCGAGGAAGGCGATGGCAGATTGGATAGATTGAGGATCTTACACTCTAAAACATTCATCACAGACCTGGGATTTTGAGGATTAAAATCTATTTATCTGCACTCGTGAATGACTAACAACTTTTATGCACTGTTGTATTTTAAAGCAGCATTCCCTAAGTAGCCTGTCTGAAGGCTGTCAGTGTTAGAATTGAGTGTTACTGTATAATTTGTGAGCACGACGTCAAGAACAAGAGTGCATCTGAAAGCTTTTCTGTTAAAAGACTGACCTTATACACACACTGCATTCCTCCCACTAAATGTTAGGCAAATATATGTTGTCTCTTTATGCCAGATGTATACTAATTTGAGGAGCTTTTTCTACAAACGGATTGTAATCCCAAAGCAAAAAAGAAACAAAACGTGTATTGAATCATCTGGAGATTGTCTGAGAATTGTGAGTTATTTAATTATCCTTTGTTTTGCTCTTTTCATTTCACCCAACTGTCCTCTTCACAGAACATATTTGTAATTCAATGAATACACTTTGGGAAGAGATTAAATCATGAAATCATCTTAAGAAAATCATCCTTTGATTGGAGGTATTTTGTTAACTAGTTGTTTCACAAAACAAAGGAGTTAATTGACATCCTTCTTGTTTGACTAAAGCCCTATAGAGGCTATGGGAGGAAACCAAGCCTTCATCCATAGTGGATTTAAAGAATATCCCGTTGAGTTGCCGTAGGCCTAGCATCATTATCAAAGAGCTCAAAACAATAGCCCATAAAAAACAGATGGCGAATTCTCACCTTAAGTTACTCTGATAAACAATCAGTCCATGCATCAGTCCTGAACGCTGCCAGACGCTCACTAAAGCACTAACTGGCAAACAAATATTACCCACTTCTGCTCTTCATTCACTCAAACAACAAAAAACCCACAGCTCTGATCAAAGGGAACCATGGGAAATGTAGTTTCACACACAGCACTCTGATGATAGCAGTCTCTTTTGAGTGGGGTTTTTCAGACTACATTCCCACAGCCTGGATAGTTCTTTCATCTCCGGGGATGTAAAAGACGAGGGTTCGCCACTCAGTAAAAACAACAGCTGCTGCTTAAAACAATAGCTCGGCATCACACGCAACGCAGAGAGTGAGTGACATTATTTAAACAAAAAGTGGATGTTAGGGACACACACGCATTTCTGTTCAGGAGATGGGGATTTTCTGAAGTACATCAGTGTCTTTTAGTTCTGTTTATTCAGTGAGAGTCAGGATTTAAATTTGGTGACCATTTGACAAAAATAGGCTGAGTATCGGTCAAACAATTACACAGGTTGAGAAGGTGTGCGTTTATTCCAAGTACTTCAATAAACTCTGCCTAATTGAGGGAATGTATCTGTAGCCGAGCTAAAGCACCGTGAGTCTGAGGTCTGACACTGCGGCTTCACTGCCACCTGCTGTGGGGCTTAGAGGAGAGTGCACAGTGAGTGGGACCTACCAGGAGGAAGGGCGTCTGTCGGGGGAGCTGGAGAGAGAGCGCCTCCGGTGGTGTGAGGAGGAGCTGCGTGAGCCGGAGTGGGATCGGGACCTGGACCGTGAGCCGCCGCTGCTCCAGCAAAATGGCCTGCTGGGAGATAGCAGGAGGGAGGAGGGTGGCGACACGGAGCCTCGTGATGGAGAGCAGCTGGATGGAGGGGAGGAGGAGGGAGAGCAGGGGGAGCAGTCAAAAAGGATGTCCAGAGGAGTGCCCTCCCAGGGGTACAGAAAGCGGTTCTCCCGGCCCTCCAGGTCATCGTGGAAGGGCAGGAAGCCTGGGTGCAGGTAGGACCCAGGCAGGCGCTGGGACGAGCTGTCAGAGGCCTCCTTCTCTGGAGCAGCTGAAGGCTTCACTCTCTCTGGGCTGTAAAGCGCTTGTGTGGGGATACCAAAGTGCTTGTTGAGCTCTGCTCGGATTTCCTGGTCGCGCATAGATATCCGGTTGTTGGCAGAGGATTGGTCGCTTGGGACCTCTTGGGACGTGTTTTCTGTGACTTTAATGTGAGCTGCCTCCTTCTTCGGTGTAGCTGAGTTTAGCTGCTCAGCCACAGATGTGGATGGAGCGGACGTTTGGGAAGATGAGAATGGAGATGAAGATGCGGGCAATGTTAAGTCCTTACATTCCACATGCCTGTCGTCTGGAGGAGTGACCGCTGCTGTTGTGCTCGTAGCAGTGGCTGCGCTGCCGTCCTTCTTGGCGTTTGCTGTTGCCTGGCAGTAGTCGTGGTCACTGTGTCCACGAGACCGCTTGGTGCTAGTGCTACGTTGGTCCTCTGCAGCGCCCCCTGCTGAGTGCAAGGGGAAAGGTAGAGCAGTGGACGCTTTGCTCAGCTGGGCGTACAGCTCAGTCTGTTCGGGACCCTTTCTAATGGGGCCCCCGCCTGAGGCACCTGGGGCGAGGGCCAGAGCGCCGGGGCCCACCTCGCTCTGCTTGGCTCTTTTGCACGCCAAGGCTGAGGAGGAACATGAAGACAACTTGGTTTTGAGAGATGCTTTGAAAGGATTCTCTTGACTGACTTTGTGTGGGGGCGTAGTTGGTGGTGTCAGACCTGTAGAGAAAGATGAAGGAACAAAGGTTTATATAGGACCATAAATTTAAATGGAGTCATAATCCAAACCTCGCCAAATAGCCCTCAACTCCTCCCTTTGTCTATAAACTCAACATGCTTTATGGCCACAGATACATGTCTGATTAAAATATTCACTTTCAGCTGGCCTAATCCTTGGCCCAATTTTATTGCAATCTTGACAGATTAATGTAATGCTTGGTGTAACTTAATATGGTGGTGTTGTTATACGGGTGACTTGCCATCCGGTTCCTTTCTGACCTTGGAAAGATCCCCTTAAAAAAATCCTCAGCATAAGGACAAACCTAATGCTTCGGCACGTGTGATACAGTATCTGTTCCCCTCTGGACACCTGCCAAGTCATCGGAGTAACGCACTATGACTCTACTTTTATCATTCAAAGAGGTGATGAGTGCTTGCAGCTTTCAGCACTTTTAATATCAAGGTTCAAATAACATGTTTTTCCATTATTTCTTTTTTACTATGCGTGCACCTACCAATATGGATATGTATTTTTTTGATAATGAAAGACGAGTTTATATTAGAGAATACATGGTAATAGGAAACAAACTACAGATGAAACTGGCAACATCAGAATAGTGGTAATGTGAAATCGAAGCAGACTCTTTACATGCAATGTGAACAAATTCAGTCCTTTGTTAACTAACACTTTTAAGATTATGCATTTTTGTTTTGTTAGGCTATAATATATATGATTTCATTGTATTGAGTAGTTTATAAATATTATATATTGAATCGCATTGAGTTGTGTGAGATATCGTCAAGCTCTGAATGATACCCAGCTCTAGCATTCACATTTGTTCACGTGCTATCCTTCTGAAACGTCAAAAATGTGAAAGTTTGTTCAAATGAATTGTCAGTCTTCTCAAACAGCATTTCAAGCGCCCCTCCCTCTAACCCCCACACAACCCCACCCCTATGCATACAGATTTATATCCAGACAGATGGCATTTATATGAGAAATCCAGAGATGAGCCTACTTTACGGCATAGTTAATGCACTCACACAAACGGGACATTGCCATTACTCTCATCCACTCTTTGCTCTTTGCATTGCCCCTCTCTTCTGCCTCCTGTCTCTACCTGTCTGCCATCTTTGGCGTTTTGTCTCTCCGCTGTCTAACAAACATGCCCACACACCAGTGCACTCACAGTCTCCAGTCAGCCACTTTGAAACACCTACGCTCTCCTCTGTTCCATCTTATAATACACGCTCTTCCCTCCTTCGCAGACGAATTGCACCAAATGACAGCTATTAGTATTAAATCCAGAGTGAGCGCATGTGCCGGGAAAGCAGCTAAAAAAAACTACAAGTGAGTGAGTGAGCCGGATACGTAAATATTCTGCCTTGCTGCGTTTGGAATGACAGATCCAGGGGCTTACCGTAGTCCTAGTTATTACTGGGGATGTCTATATGTAGCTATGTAAAATACTGTTTTCACATCAGTTTGAGGCTATGAAGGATTTACCCATCTGTGTACCATATCCCTTACCACATTATCATGCATTTTTATGGCCAAGAATGCCTTTCTTTTGCAAGTTAATTACTGTACGTTATAGACAGGAACAGGAGCACAGGTTTTATATGCATTTATGTCTTTGGAGATATAGGTTTTACTTTGTTCTTCATCTTATCTTCTCTACACTGCGGAATACCAGCATTAGAAGATAATCATATCTGTTCCACGCTTCATTATGACTTCTGCTTGACGAAAATGTTTGTGATTAGAGAAATATGTACAACAAGCTAAGTTCACTCCATATTTAAATGTAGACATTATAGCGTGTGTAAATATTGGCAAGCTCCGGCCGTCTTACAGATACCGCTTTGCATGATTCCAACGAAAAGCAAAGAGGATGCAGGAGGAGGGGTCTGCGGCACAATGAGGCACCATCTGTCCAAAACAATGTTCGCGTGGGGTCATAAACTAGCAGCCATTAGTGACGGGGGTGAAATAAATCAGAATTAGATAAATATGTGCCTCTCAGTCAAACGCGCTGATGATGGATGGCCCACAGATGCAGACACCAATCACAGAGCTGTCAGTGCACAAACGCCAAAGATGGGGAGAGAAAGGAAGCGAGTGTATCCAAATAATTTCCCGAGTCCAGCTGGATATGGAGAATGTAGACATCGGAGCGAATAACAAGTCCGGGCTTAAAGAGTTGATCCGGCGGTAAGCCATGCAAATAGCAACACACTTGGACCACCCCAGTGTCATGAGATACAGTAATTAAAGACAACATAGCCGAGCGGGGCAAATCTATTAGAGAGACACAGATTAGGCTTGAAAACACAAGTCCCAGAGGGAATCGCTGCCTGTTGTTTGTTCTTGTGAAATGCACATCCAACCGGTTTAAAACAGTGGTGTGGTTTTGTGGAAAGCTAAAGTCTGTGAACCAGGAAGGATGTTGGGTGGTGGGTGTATTTAGAATGCGTCTATACTGAAGTAATACAGAAGTACAGGCAGAAAGTCTGAAATTATATCATGTTTAAAGGGTGGCAAGATGAAATTCCATCATATTGATATTGATCATATGATTTTGGCAAATCATAAATTAATTCAATGAAATGTATAAAGTGAAGGTCAGTTAGGTTTCAAATTGTGAAGATGAAGACTTTTTTTGAACGCAGGCACGAGATAGACCCGCCCCCACAGGTTCCTGATTGGACGCAATGTAATGAAATTGAAAGTTGAGGCCTGCACCTTTTGGACGACCTATTCTCCTACAGCAAGGTGTTTATCCCAATAATATGTATTCTTTTCAAAAGAAAATACACACAAAGTTGTTGACATCACCTCTAAGAACATAATAGTGGTTAAAAAAAACAAAACCTGCTCAAGATTGGACCTTACAAAATCACTTCTAAATGCATGTCATTGTTGTTAAACAGGTCTAAGAAATGGAATATAGAAGTTAAGTATGGGGACCTCCAATTTATTCTCTCTTTTGACGTTTTTCCATGATTGCTTTTCAGGGATTCCAAACAAATTGAACTTTCCTTGTACCATACATGTTTAAAATGTGCCTCCAAGTTATTATTTTTCAACCCTACTGTAATTGCAAATGTGAAAGGATGACACGCTCTGCTATTTAATCAGTAGAGCATAAAAGCAATAACAGGACTTACAACTATGTGTGTGTGAAGTTATCTTTTTGCCATATCTATATACAAATAACATCAATGGCATGCATACAGTGGCGCTGGCAAACCAATGAGATGGCGAGAATCACAACGTGTAGCTTTAATATGCCTGGCAACAAGACAGGCCATTTTCTACAGATGTTATCTTTCAATGTAGCCACTGTTACTACACCTCCTCATAAAGGTATAAAAATGAATTGGCAGCGCTCCACAGAAAGTTCCAAGTAGAAGTCTGAAGGTGAATTGTGGAACAGCGCGCCGGCCTAACCTCCATCTGGTTATAAGTCACTGCACAATATTCCCCATTGTCGTAAAATGTTACTTTTAATCCACACGGGACCTCTAACTCACAATCTTTCACCTTCACTTAGCAAGATTTATACTCACTAAAAAGCTTAATATTCAATCCAAACTTTCTACAAAATGTCTGGTCTGTTTCTAAGATCTGGCCTGAGGTTACTAAAAATCAACCATGCATAGGGAATGGGGACAAATATTAACTGCGGCAGATTTTCAGACCCATTTTGTTTCAGGTCTCACCAATCGTGGCCTTTGCCCCCGCTGTTTATCTGCGCAGAAAGGTCAAGCTGCTCTTTGAACAAGGTCATGGGTTTCGTTTAAGACTTCCCTTGGGGTTGGGTGTGCACAATAAATTGAAATTCGGGTGAACGGTTGCCCTTAAAAAATTCCATGTTAACCCTCTAGGCACAGAAGCAGCAGAATTTCTCCTAAATCCAGGATCCTTTCTACACAGTGACTAGGTTTCCCACAAACACATCCCGAGGGTAATTAACTTCTTTGTATTTCTGTTATTGATTAAAGTAGTCCACAATCTCTGACTATTTCTTATGTATTTGTTTTTGCAAATAACGCTGGTGCCTAAAGGGTTAAGTAAATAAAAAGTTGTGGACAAGTGAAACAGCAAACAGATTACAGCTGAGGAATATATGTGTTTGTATTTAAAGAACACATACTATGCATTAATTGCTCTTAAACATGATCCTTTATTGTGTTAGTTTATAATTCAGAGTGTTGAATGAATGAACACAAGAAATATAGAATTTGAGATGAGAAGAAAGAGTAACACCCCCATATAGTGGTATAGGCATGAAAGTATATATTGCGAGATTCTGATCGTGAATATGGAGCATTCTAAAAGCGGATCAGTTGTCAAGAGTGACAGGAGAAATGCACAAAACTACATCATTTGGGAGTTTTTGAAATGGCTTTTCCATGACATCATAGTCTGTTATAGCGTACAAAGTTGGAAAAAGAAGCATTTAGACAGAAGGGGTGGAGAAATGTGTTTGAGCCAGAAGTCCCTGATATTGCCGTGGATGTAACTTCAGGTCTGTATCTTTGAAAAAATATGAAATAAGATCCTGCCCTCACAGGAATTTTGGCACATAATTAGTATTCATATACATTCACTTTTTGGCGCAACTTAAAAGCAGCTGTTTGCAAACTCCGAACAGAAACTGGGGCGTATACCACCAAAGCCGCTTTCGACTCTTACTTTCAAGTCAATAGAGGATAAAACACTTTATTAACAGATTTTAACCTCATCTGCTTTTTTACTGATTTATGAGCTCATATATTTGGTTTCATTACAAATTAGAGACGAGAAAATTAATTGAAACTCCTATTATTAGTCTGCTTATATTAAAATGATAATGAAAGCTATGGGGTCTATTGACAGAGCAGCATGCTTACATTGTTCTAACATGAAGCCCATGTCAGTTGATCAAATTGCGTCTACGTCTAGGGACACGGCCAAGATAGGGAAAACTGAATTATGCAGTAAAACCAATTAAAACAATAACACTGCCAATTCAATTCCTACTGATGCATGGAGTAAGTAAGCCGCGAGTCAGAGAGCATTAGATCTGATAGGAGAACAGGAGTGGCATATTAACTCAAAGGGGGCAGAGGTGGGGGGAGTGGGAGGAGCCTGCTAATAAACCCGCATGGAGATTGGATACTCTAATCAATACGGCACATAAAACTCTCCACTGTTCCTCCACCTTGAACTCTGAACTCTGAGCAAAGCAGGATTAACCCATTAGAAGCCAGGAACAGCGAAACTCAATGACGCATGAGAAAACGTTATATGTTGATTTAATTAGTTCTGCTTGTGGCGCGCATTGCTTACCTGGAGTTCCAGCGATCTCCACACTTAATGTGCGTTCAATGGTTTTGTTCTCAAACGGTGATCCCTTGTGGTCACTGCAAAACAAACGTGTGTAATGAATAACTTTCCCATCGTAAGGATACATGATTTGTGATAAAAGTAATGGAAATGAAAGTCACAGAAATGCCTCAACTTGGATTCTAGTCTTGGGTTCGAGAAAAAATTTCTTGTCTCTTTTTTTTCTTTTTCTTTTTTTTCCAAAAAATAATGTGGAAAACTTCTCGCACTTACTTTGGAGACTCTGGGGTCAAAGGAAGTGGCAAGGTGGTTGGTTTGGCTGCAGAACACAAATAGCATTGGTAATTATTGATCTAGTCATAACACTCATATTCTGCAATAACTTATTTCAAATTGGCTCATTAATCAAGCAAATATAACTACAAAAACACCCAACCTATGTTAGAAAAAGTCTACAGATGCTAAAGACTACAAAACTTTGAGATTGACCCCAATCTTATGCAGTATGTTTCTAGACTGTCCACTCTGTGAGGCAGGATGAGGGGATGGAATATGTAGCACACCCCGCTTAAAAGAAGAAAAAAACAAAACAAGCAAGACCCAAAATGGAGTTAGGAAGGACAGGGATGATGCCACAGACACGACAATGACAGTGTGTGAGCCCCTCTCAGGACAGTTCAGTCAAAAACACATGCACCAAACGCAGAGGAGGGGGGAACAGGAAGAAAGGAGAGTCAGAGAAGCTTGTGCAGTTGCCCGAGGCTCTGGCCGCCGTGTGCTCCAACAAAAGGGACATGGCTCTAAAGTGCAGCCCGGGCTCCCAGTCTAAAGTCCGTATTCAGCACACTCTGCTCAATCAGCCAAACAAAGTTCAACGGTCAACTTTATGAATACAAGACATACACTAGCTCGCCCCATTTCCCACCCCTTCCATTTTATTTTGCTCATTTTAGTTTAAAGATTGCCTCTGGGACTTGCAAATAGCATTGGCTAGCAGGCTGTTTTAGTGTTTGCCCTCAGAATGACTGTTAGATTCAAATTAGAATACATGTTAGTCGTGAAGTCAAACTGAGAAGTGGTTAGAGCAGGAGAGGGAGAAGAGAGAGCAGAAATGCGGCCAGGGGGGATGCAGTCATGATTACCTAACACAGGGTGGCCCTGGTCGTCGGGGTGCTTGCTGAGTGCCTGTCTGTGTGGGGGCCCTGGCCCTGGTATGAAGCAGGGAGGGACAGGGAACATTGGGCTGGATGGGCCCTGTGAGAGCACCACAGCCACACTGCTGCCCATGACATCATCATAATCAAAGACACCATCATCATCATTATCAGCTTCATCAGGGTCCTCCCCAGTGCGCTCTCTGAGGGGCCACCCCAGCTCCAGTCCAAAGCCCATGTTCAGCCCTGTTTCTAGGTCAAAAGTCATAGGGGACAGCAGGGGCCCCGAGTCAGGCTCCTCAGGCTCAGGGGTATTTACAGACTTTGGATCGCTCAGCTCTTCCTTGTCCATGTGTGGATCACTAAGGAAGGGACTCTCAGACCTGGGGGTTGGCAGTTTTTGTAGGGAGAGGGGTAAGGGACTGGGGCTGCGAGTGTGCAGTTGGACCTGGTACTGGACAGGCTTGTGTTTGGAGGTGAGCAGCTGGCTGAGTAAGGGGTGGCCTGGCTTCTCCTCTCTTTTCTTTATGGTCAGTGTGATATGTCTGCGTGGAGCGCGCTGGGCAGCACTAGTGTTCCTATGGCCTTGCCTGCCAAAGCTCCCACTAGCCTGAGTGGCACCTGCAGCCTCTCGGCAATGCTCACAGCTGTGACTCGCCTCTCTGGGAGGGAGGGAATAAGAATGCATATACCTAATAAATCTAGCGGCGGCCAGGCGGCCCGCGTCGCCTGGCGGCCTTCCTTCTTCACTGGGCGCCCTGTTCTCCAGTTTGGGGCAGACATGGCCACAGCCCTGGGACTTCTGATCATGGTGAGCCCGGCAACGCTGCCACTTCCCAGCCCCAACACCAGGCACACTACACTCGCCAGCAGCCCGGCGCTCACCTCGCTGCTGCTGCTGCGAAGACACCGACTTCTTCTTGGAAGCTGAACAGGTGGAAGAGCTGGAGGAAAGGGAGGAGAACGAGGAGGTGGACGATGAAGAAGGCGAAGAGGAGGATGAGGAGGCACCTAGACTCAGGACACTCTTGTCTCTGCTACTGCTGGGCCCCCAGGGGCCCCTGGCTTCACTGGCTTTGGTGTGCAGCAGGATGTCATCTGTGGCTGTCAGGTATTTGAGCAGCTCTGTGCAGGGCCGTCTCACTGGCCGGGTCTGTTGGGTCGAACTCCCGCGTGCTTTGCCGTTCCAAGGATTCTCCGTCTGCTCAACAGGAGGGAGACAGAGAATCATTTCATTTGGTTTAAGTGCAGCTGGCAGTAATAGGAATATTTGAGATAAAGTGCATACAGACATAAAAGAAGAAAGGGATGGGACTGGGGAGAGGCTAAAAGTGATTCAGACAGCCTGAGCACAGTGGTTGCCCAACTGTCTGGGAGGCAATGGTGGGAGTGCAGCCCGCCCATCATCCTAATTGCGTGGCCCTTGGAGCACCACCACACGGCTCTGTACGCACACCATGTCCTCCGGGAATCCTCATTCGCTGTGCTCCAGAAACAGATGACTCAAAGGCACAGTATGAAAATAGAATGTGTGTGGAAGGTTGTCGTGCTTCAATGTGCAAACACGCTATATACAGTCACACAACATCATCACATCCACATGCTTCCCTATATCCAGAGGATTTGTGGCATCGGAAAAGCAGAACCAATACAGATTTTAGACATTTTTCCTCAAACAAGCGCAAACGATGCCACGCTGGAAGTTAAACATGACATCCAACATTGAGCGTGTCATGTCCTGATGCCAAATGCAAAGACATTACCGAAATCACACGCTCAATTAATTCACATTCACATCCGCACAACACTTAAAACCCACTAGCATAAATCTCAATCAGCTCCACCACAACTCTTTGGAGATCCATCTAATGAGAATTTCTAGCCTGATATTTTGATCTTGTCATCTCAAAGCATCAATCTCACCACACAACTGTCAGGCATATTTTTCTCCCTCAACACACTCCGCGGTATATACGGCCGATAAGTGGAGACGCTAATGAGACTACACTGTCTATGTGCTGCGCCTGGAAAAACCCACCAGCAATCACACTGTTTTCATTACAAGCTGGACTCCTGGGAAAACTAACCAGCGATCTTTTAAACGCGGGCCACCAAAACACGAGAAAGAATGAATAAATGCGAGTAGGAAACACGGAGCGGCAGAGCGTGTAAAGCTTCCATGGCTACATTTGTCACGCTTTGTCCCATACCTTGACGACGGCAGGTGGTGGTCGGATGCGGTGGTTGCTGTTGGCGGCATGGTTGTGTGCCTTGCCACCTGTGTATTGATTATAGCTGAGTTGGGAGTTTGCGGGCGCCAGGAGGAGCTTCTTCAGCTGCGGGCGGACACAAGGCACAAGAGAGGAAGAGAGGGGGAAGTCAGGTTATGCAGAGGTTGTTTCAATTAAGCTTTTAAATTCAACTGGTGCGGCGCTGGACTAAGAAACTATGAGAGGAAAGCTGTTTGAAGATTTCTATCCAGTGCATTGTGTGCCATACTTTCACTTTCAACAGCTGTGGTACCAAACAGTAAAAGCCTGGTAAACAAAACAAAACATGCTGTCTGTATCCTTTTAGAATATAGTAAATTATTTTTCCCTGAGAGCCCTGAAACGCTTTAGGCTGAAAGTTTGTTGGCTGAGGTCTTATTTTAATTGTTTGTCCAAAAAAACGGGTCTAAACGTGAAGAAATACATGGATGTGCAAACTATATAGTGAAAACAAGCTGAGATTTTGAGATTAAGGAACAAGTTAGATAGATTTATTGCATGGGTTAATTTAGATAGATAGACAGATAGTAAGTAAGTAAGTAAGTAAGTAATGTTTATTTATATAGCGCATTTTACAGACCAAGGTCCCCCAAAGCGCTTTACAATGTTCAGAGTCAGATATTGTTCCAATCATTCCACACACGGTGATGACGGAAGTAAGTCGCCGAACACACTGGACCATCAGCTCCAATCAACACCATCCATTCACTCTCTCATTTACATGCCATACCTATTGTACAAGTTTTTAGTGGTAGGGGAAACCGGAGCACCCGGAGGAAACCTACGCAGACACAGGGAGAACATGCAAACATCACTCAGAAGGCCCTGTTCCGACCGAGATTCAAACCCAGGACCTTCTTGCTGATAGGCGAGAGTGCTATCCACTCAGCCACCGTGCTGCCCATTAGATAGATAGATAGAGGTTTCAAAAGTCAGGTACCCGAGCTTTAGACAACAATACGCACATTTCTTGAGGGGGAAAGTCACCCAATCATTTATGTCGAAATATGAAGTTGCAGTTCTATGGGATATTCTTTTTCTGATTTTTGTTTTGTTTTTTTCACACTAGGAAGATGAGATGCAGGTAAAGGAAACATTCATAATATTATTTTTTCACTGCCATAAGAAAGCGTCTCTTATTTTGGCCTAAAAAGACTATGAATAACTGGATGTCATCTGGTAAGAGAAAATGGATAAAAAGGAGCCTCATAAGTCATTATGTTGCCTTGGGCTCTGATTGGCTGTTTGATATGATAGCGACTTGGATAGATTTAAAGCTTATACATACTTTGACTATCGTTTTATAAATATGACTAATGACCCACACATAATAAACTTTTTAAGGCCAACATCACAATGATTGCCCAAGTTGCATTTCCCAGTGTTTCATCTGTACACTTTTCTCATGTGTTGGAATAAACAGTGGCGCTGGTGAGTCTAAAGGTCATGCAGAAACAACCAGTATGGACCGAAAAGGTAGTGGCATTTTGTATTTGTCACAAGACTCCTGCTCCGATAAATCATTAGCAACTTCAGCTTCACTCACACGTCCTCAACCTACTTAGAATTGTACACAGTTGGTTGTTTTTATAACGCGTTTGTTATTAATTATAGATTCCAGTGTTTGACTCGGGAGAGTTTGAATCAAGGTCCTAAATTGAAGCAAAAAGAAAGATGCAAATTTAAGGAAGCCCATTAAAAAGGTTTTTCAGCGCAGCGGCATTTGAGGTCAGACATTTTTTTACTTAATTAAACTTAAGTCAATACCCAGAAATCTTCACGCAAATATGGGACTCAAGTTAAAAACTGTGCTTTAATATATCATGATGTAGTCTACATTCTGTGTCAATAGAAGACAGGAAGTATAGACAATCATCTATAAAACCATAGACGCTGCTAATGAGGAGGTTATATAACAGAACAGAGGACGGGACAGTTCCACTAGCAAACATTGATAGTGGAAGAGTTAATATGGGCTTCCATTATTTTATACATCATCAAATAAATCACATTTTATAATTTTCTTAACCTTTTTATTGTAAACTTTTGAATCCAGAAAAACCCAGTCAATAACTGCAGACTTTAAGCAGCTTTCCTTACTTTTGGTCCTGTTTGGATCAATACAATCAATAATTTGGTAAAAAATGTAAACAATAATATTGAAATGAATTTCTGTAAATGCAAAGAATAAGCTACAGACAAATGTATGGAAAACAAATGTTTTTTGTGGAAAACAATGGAGATCTCCTAAAGTAAAGCTGCTGAGCTAAAGCACACCTCTCATGTTTCTGACTGTGGCCCCTGACCAAAATTAGGTTTTGACCCTGGGGTATGTGAAAGACCCCCCTCCCCTAAACAGCAGAGGGCGCTCATGCCCTGCCTACGCTGGAGGGAGGAGGGGGGGGCCCTACTGGACAGAGCAGGGGGAGTTATAAGCTATGGCTGAGGGGTTAGCACTCTCGCTCCTCAGCAAGAAGGTCCTAAAGTCCTGAGTGAAGTTTACTTGTTCTCCCGGTGCCAGCATAAGATTCCTCCAGGTGCTCCGGTTTCCCCTAATACTAAAAACATATAGCTACCCTTTCTGAAAGAGATTCTGTAGTGTCAGTAGGACTTTCCTGCCTAAATAAAGGTCAAAAAATCAATAAAAAAATAAAATCTGCTTATGAAAAAATGGATTTCAGTGTGTGTTTGTTTTGTCAATGTAAGATCGTGTGTATGGAGCTGCAGACGAGTATGTACATTTGCTAAAACTTACAACAATGGCTATGTGTGAACAGGAAACAAATAGAATGGACAGAATAAATATCAGAAAGTAAGTTGCCGGATACTCCAGTTTGTAATTAACTTCACCTTCTGCAACGCTACAAACATACTTTGCGAAACCACAGAGATCTCTATTCTCTTTTAACAAATACTTTAATTACGTCCCCGGTTGCTTCCAGAACCCCATGACAGACACAGCCGCAGTTGGCCCGAGCACTTGTTACAGCAGTGAGCCGGTGCCATAGTTGCAGTGTTATGTAATTAGCACCACATCCAATGCATTTATTTCTCTGCGCTGTCTATTTGCCTCGCCGCACAATGTGGAAAATGTGTCCGAGTCGGTTATGACCACACATCAGTGGGAAGAATAGGCCTTTTGGGTGCCAAGGGGATTGTCAAAGTGCCTTATCTGTTGTTCAACACAGACTGGCAGCTTGTACCCAGGGCCTGCACGTCTCCAAAACAACATGAATTTGGACGGGTTGAAACACGCTGGATAAAGATGGCAATGGGAAAGGAGGAGGACAGGTTGCACCCGTCCAGCCTATACGTTCAGGTTCTAGAATTCTATTTCAGCTGGAAGGTGCGGGTGTCAATACGACAAATGTCCACCTTCCTGCCATACTATATGATATGATAGACTCAATTTCACAATGGAGAAATATAAAAGTCACATTGTGCATAAATAGGATCAATCAGGTTGTGAAAAAGAAGCTAAAAGATAGTGTCTTTGGCGCAAGATATATTATGTACAGATTAAATACGTTTTTGAATATTGTCGCCACCTTATTAGACCTTATGAATTGGCTCAGAAACTCCATAGAAATGATATTTAAGGTACAACTTTTGACATTACCATTAACCTGATCACTCGTTCACTATATGGTGGACTATAGCACACTTACATATGTATGGATGGAACTCAAGTTGAATATTGAAAAGTGTTGTATTTGCAGCTATTTTTCCAGAGATATGAAGCTATAAAATAAAGTAAGGAGCTTAGTGTTTTTACAGCAAATGGTTTATTGATTGATGAGTGTTTTATAAATAATTTTGGTTTAGCAGCGCGTGAAAACAGCTCCTCTGTTTGTGTTGTCGTTCAGTCGTGTTGTGGCCTGCCCCCGTCTGCTGCTGTTTTCACTCATTCTCTCATTACATTGATAAGCAGTGACCAGCGCTGGACACGACTTTTAAAGAAGAGGAACATTTTGAGTGCACTATATATTTATCTCTTTGAACTGAGAGGTAATTTGCTGATGCGACAGAGGGCATAAACTAGTAATAGAACTAAACTGTTTTAGAGAAAGGAAATACATGGATCTCATCACGAACACAAACAATTTTAATATATATTATTTCATCTGTTTGACTGTTTCGTCTGCACCCTGGTCACCTGAATTTCTCTTTGAGGGATAAATGTAATTATTAATCCATCTTTCTAGCTACCTATTACATAGATTAATTGTGAATGGTTGAAAAGTTAGTAACACCATCTTTAAAAAAAATCATTTAGAATGTCTTGTGTGACTTGATCTTGATTTTGGTGATAGAATTCAGCAAAATAAGCATCAATCTCCCTTTCGATCTGTAAGATATCGTCATTTTTACATATGAAATTGTCCTTATATGTATACAATGGCTTTTGTTGTTGACTATTGACTAATGAAATAAAACAACTAAACAATAATGAATATTTGGATATAGCGTTTGTCTTACCAGGGAGGGCTCCTCGGGCTCTGGGGTGTGGGGGGAGCCGCTGGGGGAGGAGGGACAGCTCTGGTCACTGGCATTGGTCACGTCCCCGTCTGCCAAGGCCTCAAACGAAGGCAATCCGTCCTCATCCACCGGGATGCTGTCCAGGGTCTCTGTAAGCACTGCCAGCAAGTTGGCCTCATTTTCTTCATCTATCTTCTTAGGAAGCGGGAATAAGAGGGGGACACGCACAGACAAATGGGGAGAAAGAATATATAGGACATTTTAGTCAAGGGAAGTTTTGGTTTTGTATGCATTGTTGTCTTTAATGCCTGCTATATGTCACCAAACGTTCTACTTTCACTATCATTTCATCTTCATCATAAATGCATTTTGTACCGTGCATAGTGTAGAGTATAGTAATGATTCATTTCAAAAGTATGTACACCAAAAGACAAATAACATAGATTCATAAACTAAACAGCAATACACAATTTAAAAATGGGTTCTTTTTAGGTTCTAACCCCTTTCACTTATACTTAGTCATAAAACACACACAGACACACACACCCAGGCAAGACACAGACCCAAACACTCTCTGACCCTACATCTCTCCTCCACCACTTGCTCCTTCCCCTCCACATATTCCTTTTTAAAAAGATTTTCCAACATATCTTTAATTCATTTGCTAATTTCCAAAGAGTATCATTGCATCTAGCTATACGCGTGTGCACGTCTTGCTAGAATGGATCAGCACAACATTAGAGAAAGTCATATTGAACATGTTAATTATTCATACTGTAAGAATAATAGGTCAAAGTATTTCAGCGTACATGCCCTTTAATAGAGACAGAACATGTATATTTCCTCTCAGCGCAGTTGGTCGTATACTGGCAGCTTTCTTTAAAAACTAAATTCTGCTTCTTGCAAAAGTGAGTCGAGCCTGTCACTCATATTTTAAGCACGCAGCTTACTGGACCAAAATAATATCTAGCCCCGAAAAACCCATTACGGAGCCTGACAAGTAGCAAGTATCTGGGGAAGAGAGGAATAGGCTTGGGTGGGCTGCGGTCCACAAACAAACGGTTGAGAGAGTAGTGCTGCATTTCCCCACTTGTTCATAACTGAAACAAGATATTTAAAAAGCTGTCGAATGGTTCTGTTTTTTTTTTTTTCTTCAAAAAATGACATTGAACTGATTCAAGACTAGATTTTTGTATTGTGTTTTACGCTATAACAAAATAAAAGCAGCAAGGCCTTTTTTTTCTCTATTCCTTGGGTTCATTTTGTTTGTTAATTATTTTTCTTCAGAATATATTGACTTCGGTTTTTTATGTTTTAGATTATTGTCAATGTAGACGGAAAATTACAAATGGTGTAAAATATGATTAGAAAAAGCTAAATTTTCATATAGTGGTAGAAGTAGGGAAGTCACCCAGATTTAGATTTAGACACTGGTTGGTCTAATTAAAGGCACGCAGACATTTTCAGAGCTATTTGGTTGGCAATAGGATATAGTATAAAAGATTTACAATCAGCATTTATAAAGAAGGGGAGGGGAGACTTGTTTGAGCTAGAAGATCCTGATACTATTACTGCGACTAGAGCTAAAAAAAAGATTGATAACAATAAATTATCCATCGTCTAATAGAGCTTTAGTTGGACACAATTAAACAAACAAACATTATTCATTCACTCCATACACTGGTGGTACATTACAACTGTAGCCACAGCTGCCCTGGGGTAGACTGACAGAAGCAAGGCTACTAATCTGTGCCATCTGCCCCTCCTCTCACCACCCATCATGCACACACACACCAGACTCAGCCAAAGTGGATGAGGACACAACAATATACAGCTGCAGCCGCCTCACTGTGGCACCTGGTGTTCACAGAGGTCTACCATCACAGTACTAACCAGGCCCTGTCCTGCTTAGCCTCAGAGGTCAGACAGGATCAGGCTCTCACATTGGCAAGGGAACAATGAACATGTTGCTAAATGCATCCTTTATCGCCATTCATTCACAAACAAATGTTAATACATGTTTGATGTTTGCAAAAATATTAAATAAGTGACATCAATATCTCTGCTCTCTTGATGTCGGCGTAGTAGCTGATCCTCACAGAAACCCAGCATTCTCTCTTCATTTATATATTAATTTCGGAGGGCGTGAGAGAGACAGCTTGTTCGTACCGCTCAGCTCCACTTTGATGTGCCAGAACAGTTGCTGCAGCTGGCCGCTTAATGGCCGAGATGATGCACCAAATGTGAGGAAAACAGCCACAGAGGAGCAGATAGAACCAGCAGCGCCTGGATTAGATGCCCCGAAACTTACAGAAACACAACTTACAACAACAGGCTGCTATGTTCTACCTATACTTTCAGGAATCTGCCAATTTAACATTGATAACTGATTCGTATACTTTTTGTGTGTGTGTTTTTTTTGCAGTGTCTTGGCAGAAAACAACAGCTGGAGTATCTGTTCTTTGAAACCAAAACAAATGACCTATGTCAGAAAACTAGCTCCTATCAAGTATCAACACAGGTAGATATATTTAGCTCATGTTTTGATTACTTACTTAGTTAGTAAGTTACTTACTCAAGCTTTAAAAGTACCTAAACAAAAATGTTGAATCACACTAAGTATAACAAGTAGTATTATTCAATCAATGTATCTGCATATGCTAATGAGATGTCCCCTGCATGATTCCAGAAAAACAGACGGTTTGCAACATTCTCCAGAGAGAATATGTTTTAGGCCAAACTGATCACAGCCAAAAGAACATTCCCAAGAAACCAAGCAGAAGGAGTTCTTCCTCCAGAAAAGATACAGAGTGAATCAAATAGATACATTACATCTAAAGCCAGTCAAACAGCAAAAAACAACTGATAATTCCCTGGTTGTTGAAAGTAAGATGCTTTGAAATCCCATGTTTGAATGTTAAAGTTTGCAGCCAGCCACATGTTTGAAGCCATATTAGTAGTAGTAGTAGTATTTGTAAGACTGTATTCTGCTCTGCTTTTAAATGCACAAGTTCCAGTAACAACCCAGGGGACTCGGAGCCAGCGGAAAGATAAACAGCCCCATCACCAAGGGACGCTGCGTGGCTGTCCCAACAGGAACAGATCCTTCCACGCACACGATTGGATATAGCCTTAGCCAAAATTATGCTATAAGGGATGCCCCAACCTTTATCATGAACTTGTACCTATTTCAATGCATTTTTATCATCATTCCATTCAAAGATAACACATCGTATCTTAGCGTGCAGTCAGGCAAATTATATATTCAGTTAGTAGATTTTCTCGTTTTTAAAAATGATGAAGGGGACATATTTCAAGATAAGCCCGCATAGACTGGGGACAGTGAGATGGTGGAGCTTTCGCAGGAAATTGCCCGGTAATGTGGCATGCTGTTTAATTACTTGCCAAATCTACTGTGCCAGAAGCCGGTGAATGCTCAAACGTGTAGCCTTTTCCAACACCGCAAGTTATTACCTGGGCATTAAGCAGCAGGGTATTAGCTGTTGATAGCGCCTTTCTTTGCCTAAATATTGAAGCCAGCAGCCGGATCATTTTAGATTATGACCAATAAGTGAGCATTATGCAAGCCATCTGTGTGTAATCTCTATATGGAACAGCTTAATGTATTCCCAAAATGGTTGGCAGCAATGGAGGCAAGAAAAAAGCTTGGGATAAAGTGGTCAAATTGAAGTCAAAATATAAGTTTTTACTTATATGCTGCTGCTGCGACTACCTTTTCCATCCTTATTACTTCCAATATTTGCACTACAGCTGTTCAAATGCAAAAAAATGTGGAAGAAATATACTATGCTTCTATTCTACAACAACTACTACAACTACTGCTACTACTGCTACTACTGTACTGAAATAACTCAACAAATATCATTACATTCTTGGGAAATCACATTTTTTGTTTAGTTTTATGGTTTTAGCATCGAAAAACCATAGTCACTTCATCCAATATTATTGCTTAGACTAATATTAATGAGGAGGGGAAGGAAATCAAATATGTACTTTTCCATTTCAAAGCCTCGAGATTCGACAGTTCCATTCACATGACAATTTGTGAAGTGTAAAATAGTGGGGTAGGTTTCTATAGCAATGGGAAATCCGGGGGAGTCTCCAAAGTAATGATTTCAATCCCATGCGAACAGCTCTTCCCATTGGTGCGGTGCATGACGGAGGATAACCCTGGAGGGACTTTCATATTTTCAAACAGACACTTGTAAAAGTCTAAGTCGTGACTGCTTTTCCCCTGCTGCTGCGGCGGTGGTGGTCTGAGTAAGTCACTGTCAGGCCAAGTGGGGATTTAGCGCAGGGTTCAGAGAGGGATATTTTACAAAGAGCCTGATCTAATGTCCAGATGGGACCACGATTAACTGTACTGTATACATTCTGTACAGTGGCGTCATATCGCGAGTGAGGCTATAGGTGTTGGTCATTAAGCATGTTTACAAAGCCCTCCTGAAAAACACAAACTGGTCTAATTTCACTGGACTTCAGAAGCAAATTCAATCGTTTACATCACATCTGAGTTCTGGTTTAAAGAAAGTGAACTGACGCTGGTGCAGTAGTTTGTAGTTTGGTGATTTCACATTTCTTTAAGTCTATAAATACACCATAATGTGAACTCTCCACCAACTGATTATCTTATTTACTTCATAAGGATTTTATCTGGAACAGTTGCACAAAGCGAAACATAAAAGGCAGATAAGAGATCCAATATTCGTCACACTGTGGAAATTTCATATGTGAAGTAAGTTTGATAGCGTTTTTGGAATTTAAAAAGAGTAATCTTTCTATACTGCAGCTAGGATAAACATACATAAAGGTTTTTAAAGCCGGACGAGAATTTTTTCAGCCTAAATTACTGTATACATTACCAGATCAAAGGCATTTTTGGCACAAGTGCAAGTCTTGTGGGAAAGGAATTCACTGCTCTTCTCAAACGCATGTTCTAAGAAGAGACAAATGTGGCCTTGCTTGATAATTTAGCTAATTTCTTACGCAAAATGTGTGTATTGGAGAAATGGGTGCCTAAAAAGGGGTGGATGCCAACATAACCTGGCAACGTGCTGACAACTACGTCCATTTATATTGATTACAACAGCAGCTGCTGAGAGGAAAAGGGGGCAGCCAGAACAAAGAGGCGAGAGAAAAATTGTCTCGGAGGAAACACTTTCTTGCCCATCCCG